ATTGACTCAGATGAGATCTAGAACAAAGAAAGCAACAGTGCTTTACAAGCCATTTTTAAAGGTCATCTTGTAATTTTTTGCTGTGATGCCTTGAGACAGATGAAATGCATTTATAATTTGATAATTCTAAAGGACACTAAAAGTGTAACCCTAATTTATTTGGGTTCATTGCAGTTCATTGGAGCACTAAAGGAAGCATCAGCAAAGCTGCATTATTATTTTTTTAAAGTGGCAAAAATATGGTCACAAAACTTCCATTAGTTTTAGGCTAGACTGGTACTTTGATCTTTCTTATTATAGTTTTTTAGAGAGTCAGGGCTAAAATATAAACAGATGCACCACTGTGATTGAAGAGAGTGCATCCAGAACTTTTAAAAACAGTTACTTTAATAGCATAAAATGTTGTTAAAAACATCTTTTGCTTGAAAACTTCTTCCAGAAAAATCTTCAGATCCTGGTATTCCATAAATACAGAAATTTCTGTCATTTCACTTCAGTAAAGTGTTAAAGAGCAGAGCTATACAGGTCTATTTAATGCATATCTGTAGGTATTTGACTTGATGAAATACCAGTTAGAGTGGTTAAAGCATACTGTGAATTTTTGGATGCAAATGACTTTTGTCACTAAGAAAGCCAAAGTCAAAACCAAAACTATTTTAAGAGTGCTGGTTTCAGCATAACCATCTTGGGTCCCAGCTGGCAAAAGGCTCTTTGGAAGCAGGTTGAGACACTCATTCTACGAGAAAAGCAGATTTGAGTCCCTCTTCTGTCTGATTTAGAGGGGTAATTCTGGGTGACTAATGGATGCTTTTGGCTGAGTACCCTCCAGCAGTTCCTGAAAGGCTTGGCTGTTTTTATTCAAGCTAGGAACATTTCTTTTCTGAATTTCAAAATGTTCAAAACAGCTTGATAGTAACTAGAGACAAACTGTTAGATCACATACAGAAGACTCAGGCTTATTTATTTTTTCATTTACAGGTGAGATCCTAGGGGTGTGTATTTTACCTTCTAAAGATGAAAATCCTATTGCATCTTCATACAAAGCTCAAGAGTCATGTAGATTCCCTAAATAGAAAGAAGTTAGAAGCGCACATGTAATTACTTCAGATCCATCTGTGAAAATATGAAAAAGAGAAGTACAAATCTCACAATCTAAACAAAATCTTCTTCTTTTTAAAAAAGTATGTTCACGTCTTCAATCATGGTCAGCAGCTTTAGGCAGCTGGGGCCCACAGCTAAGAAAAAATACATTTCTATAGTTGTATAAATCAGAGAAAGAATGATTGCAATTGCCTACATTCACTGTCAAGATGTTTCTACAGGTCTACATTTAGAGGCTTAGGAAGGCAAATAGTTGAAATTTAGGTAAACAATAATTATTAAGTTTTGGACATTGCATGAGGTTTTTTAAATTATATTTTTCCTTTTTTAAGTAAAACATGATTTAGCAAGTCAGGCACACAGAAGCTATCAATTATCTGCTGTGGGAAAAAGATAACTTAAGGATAATATCTAAGCAACATCTGCATTGCACATACCTGTAAGTTACCTAAATGGCTAAGAATCTAAAGCTGACATGATTTATGCTAGTTACTGACGAGTCTTTAAAAATGTTTCTTTCTCACTTATCATGATTTATTCAGAGATCTGAAGGTGCTACAAGGAGAAGGAAGGGCATAATTATTTCTATTTTACAGCTGAGGAAGAAGAAAGCAGAAGCACTGTGATATATCCACCTTCCTGGAAAAGTTTGGGGGAAGGCAGGATAGGGAAAAATCCTGCTCTTGCCTGTGCAGCTAAATTCATCCCCAGAACAGTTGGATTTTACTGGAGTTGAATAACTGCTGAGTAGTGCATTCACAACTATGCACAAAAAATGCTAGTTCCTGATTTGATTCAGCTGCATTCCTGCCCTTTTTTGTTAGTCTTGTTCCAATCTATTTTCTCTGCATATGAATGTTGGTGAAGGCAACTGATATAGAGGGGTACACATATTCATGGAGGAATAGGAGTTTGAAAAAGTCTACTCATCTTCTATTTATTATTCATGATTCACTATTCATCATTCACTTTTTTCTCTATTCATAAAGTTTCAGGCATCCAATCAGGAGCAGAGACTGGGATGAATAATGGAAATACACAGTTCACAGATAATACCCAGGCTGTAATTTGTACAGGCAAATGATCTGACGAACATTTATAAATAACTGTAACAGTACTTTGGTGGCACAAAAGAAAATCTGCCCTCAAGTAAGAGGCAGAGAAATGAAATTTGATTATGTCTAGAAGCATTAAGCAAGTAACCAGAATAGATAGCAAATTCCTGTAATATGACCTGAATTTTCCCAGGAAGATAGAAGGTCATTAAACTATGAAAAACACTCTGTTTTATGATGATGCTGGATTATTGTTTTAACAGTCATCACTGGGGAAAGATGGACCAGTACCCACAATTGGATTGAGAGTAATCAGGTCACAGATCTAAGAAACCCAGTGAAAAGTTCTGGGATTCCTGCCAGATTGCCATTCTAGGGACAGGAGCGTTATATCACACCCTGCTGCTCTGAAGAAGGGAATTGCTTTCTGTGGTGGGTACTCCGCTCCCAGCTGTTCAAGGAAGGGCCACTCCTCAGCTTCTGGGCTGCTGTGTTTGCTCTGAGATGTTGAACACTGCACCAGTTATTCAGTTATTCAAAGGCTCATAACTTCTTGGGAATAGTGGTTACATAAATCTTTTCCTCACATTCCAGGTTAAGGGGCATGGTAAAAAGACGGAGGAATCCCTCCCCAAAAGACAGAAATGCACAATGTCCTGAGCTGGTTAAGGCAGGAGCTTGACTCCTTCAAACAAAAACAAATCACAGTGAGGATGACGAGTTACTGTCACTGCCAGAAGTCTCTTCTGTAGTGCTGTGGATGTGGTCCAGCTCCCCATCCCAGACTGACAGCTTTCTTATCATATCCTATTATTACCATCTGTGACTTTAACTGCTATACAGCCACTAGCTGTTTCTTACTCCTGCAGCAGTGTTCAGGTCAGATGCAAACACACCAGGCAAACCTACCAGCTTTTTGACCCACTTTAAGATGTAAGCATCCTGAAGGGAGTACATAGGCATTGTGGGGCAGTACAATTTACAGTCCAAGATATTAATTTCAACCACAGCTAATTTGATAGTAATTTTGCCAGGCTATGTTAAACTACAAAAATCTACTTTCCTAAACCAATTGTTATACCTTTACCCTGTACTTTCCTACAAGAAAGCAAAATAGAGCAACAGAGAGATGAAAAGATCCTGGTCAGTGAAAAAACCCTCTAATCATCACAAGCAAGCCAATGCCATGTAATTTTCTTCATGAACTGATCAACTCATACACACACTCAAAGCCAAATTGTGAGCTGCATTCAAGCTCATCAAGAAAAACCTCACATGTCCCTCAATTTTTCAACACCTTTGCCCATCTCATGTACCTGGTAATCTCCCACTTCTGTGCCTTGTTATTCAGAGATCAAGCAGAACAGCCAGTCTACTTATGGCTGTACTTATTTTTTAGGTATTTTACCCCCTTCCCTTGGCATGAGGGAAAAATCATCCCAGAGTGGCAAGAAGGAGTGAGGAAGAGTGGAAAGAAACAGGATAGGGAAAAAAAGAGAATCAAACCTCAGCAAGATGAGGTCAGCAAGATGAGCTAGGGAGAAGGAGGCATCCTCCAAGTGCCACACAGCTGTGCCACAGCTGGTCATGCTGTGACTGTCACAGCGTGCGGGGAACGATGGGGCTGCAGCAAGGTGAGAGCAGTGACAAACTGATGTGCTTTCAGCCCTTGAATCGGTGCTGAGACTTGCCCACAGGAGCAGCAAGGAGGAAGAAAGGCAAGCAAAGGAAGGAAAACAGATGGAGACAGGGGTAGGAGACAGGAGGCTGAAGTCTGGTTTGTGGCTGGCGGGAATGAGAAGGCATCAGGAGAAAACATGAGGAGAAAGAGAAATAAACCCAAATCCAGTGAAAAAAAGTGGAGGTATTTGGAAGCTTTTAGGACATGGGAGGAATCAGGGGAAAAAAATTGTCATATGGGACAGTATATACTGGTTTACCACTTCATGCAGGAAACCTGTGCAGCCTCATGTGTTGATTTCAGCAAATCTGTGGGAGGGTTTCAAGTCTGTCATGGTTTAATCCCCGCAGGAAGCTAAGCACCATAAAGCCAGTGGCTTACTCTCCCTCTGGAGAAGAGAATCAGAAGAGTAAAAGTCTAAAAACAAGTGATGCAGAAGAAAACCAATTGCTCACCACCAAATAACAGGTTCCCAGTCAATCCCTGAGCAGTGACAGCCCTGGCCAACCTTCCTTTCCCCACCCCATTTGAACACTCAGCAAAATATTATAGGGTATGGAATGGTCAGTTGAGGTCAGCTGTCCCAGCTATATCCCCTCCCAGCTCCTTGTCCACCCCCACCCCAAGCAGAAAGGTCGTTTGCCTATGCAAGCCTTGCTCATCAACAGCCAGAACACCCCTTTGATATCCACAGTTTCCACCAGGAATTCAAAAGAGTAACTCAGGTTGTTGGTTTATATATATGTTTTTTTAGGAACTCGGTGAATCAAATTTTGGTCTATATTCACAGCTCCTTGTGCTTGGGAGAACTCCATTATTTCTACCCAAGGAAACCAATAATGACTCAATCACATCAGGAAACTTCCCAGTGAGAAAGTTTGGGGGTGAGGAGGGGGCAGTGTTAGAAGCAAATGCAGGAATGAGGTTATTGAACAGAAGCCAGAGCTATTTTTTTTTTAACTCTATCTGGCGAAGTAAATTCAAGAATCATGCTTAAACCCCTGCCTGGCATTTTTTTAATATTCCTTTCTTTTTTTTTTTCTTTTTTTTTTTTCTTTTTTTTTTGTTGTTTGGGGTTGGTCAGCAAATTAGCTGGCAACCTTCTCTAAGAGGTTAATTAGAGGAGATGACTCAGGAACACTACCCAGGCACACACACATGCTGCCTGTTGGGAAGCTAACAGATGTATAAGAAGCTCAGAAACCTCTATTTTTCTAACTGGGGAATCTCTTTCTCCACAGGATCCAAGTTCAGGCAGAGGTCGGATCCTTGTTCCCTCCCAGTAAGGATCAAAGTCTGTTGAAACTGAGTGATGCTTACAGTGGGAATTAGAGCCTCAGCTTATGACAACAGAAACTGAAGAGACTTTGCAGCTCTCCTCAGTGCAATGGTATTGATTTCCAAAGTAAGAAATTGCTGCTTCTATGGTTTAAACTTTATTCTGTTCTCCAATATTTGAAATTGGCTTGTCTTTTAAAAGCTATGCTAACACTTGATGTTTAATAAAAGATGATCTTTAGTCAGAAACTCAGCCAGGAATGTGAATTTGAAGCACAAAGCTATAGAATTACTTGTCAGTCATTGCATTTATTTTCACTGTGTCCAGCACGGAAATGGCTTCAAATCCAACTTAGTCATTTGCTGTAAAAGGACCATTCTTCTCTCCTGTCCTCTCTCCTTCCATAGTCAGATAATGGCATCAGTAAAACAGAAACCGTGTCTTGGGAGTGGGAGCATTGTTCTGACACTCATTCATCTGCCTTAGCAGACTTTGATGACTCCCTAAAACAAAGTTCCTGGAGATCCTGGTGCTAACTTCCCTATGGTGCTTCCACCAAAACATGAGAGAGGTGGAAAGGAGAAGGCTTCAAGGAACAGGAGGCGTGATGAACTTGCAGTAACTTCAATGTCAGTTCAGGTAACCACTGAGACCCAGTGCTAGCTCCAGGGAAGTCTGTCTCCTGCTTTCTTCTGCCCACTGACAGCACCCCAGGCATGAGGAGGGGAAACCTGGACCCGAACAGCCAAATCAATCTGCATAACTAAGAAACAAATCATGAGAGAAACTCCCGAGGTAAAGAAGGAACCTTCTACACATTTAATTCTGAGAAGATCAAGATTGCATTGATTTATTTATTTGCATTCACTAGTGACTCAAGTTAATTAAAGGAACTCTCCTGCAAATTCCCCATGAGATACATCAGGGGCTCATGGGACTACATGCTATTTCTACAGGAAATAATAAATTGTAGATGTATTTCCCCACAATATACATCTTTACTGCAGTATGTCAGGTTAGCCCCTGATACTCATGGCATTGAAGTCCATTATGATGCTTCTGATTTTTTTTACTCTATGTAACTCTTTTAATATTTTTGTTTCTTATTAAAAAGATAATGCAAGTGAAACCTTAATATATTTAAGGAAGTGCCTTTGAATTTACCCCATCACTTTTCCTTTCATCTCTTTGCAGGACCAGCTGAAGATAACACAGAACCACACCTGTGCTCAGTTTTGCTTCCACAGCTCCATCAGATCCTCTTGAAGAAGCTGGCTGCAGATTCCTCCAAATACCCCCACAAGTGGCTGCTGAGAAGTTTTTCTCTTTCCCCTCACAAGGTGTCAACTGAGTTTTTGTAGGAGGTGAGGTGACAGCCTCATCAAAGAGTTTGACTCAATGAAAGTCTTCGTGAAAGCATCCAACTTTCATTCACTGAGTTTGGTGAATGAATGATGCATGGAGGAGCTACTGTTTCTTTTAGGTACAGTTTCATGCATTTCTTCCAGCAAGCAGAAGCCACGAACCAGAGTGATGTGGGAATTACCACATATCTGAACACAGAGTGGAAATCTGTGACACCAGGACCCACAAACTGATACTTTGTTGTAAAATCCCACCCCCTGAAAGCTCTCAGATGTATGCAAAAGTGAAATAAATAAGAGATGATTAATTTATTTACCCAAGAGCATACTGGTTATAATGCTTATCTGAGAACAGACTTTGTGATCTCTGGAGTGGATCCAAACTGAGAGCAACTGAAAGCATAAGGACAGACTGGGCAGGCAGATAATGTGGGTTCAGACTCCCTCCAACAGAGACATCATTTCAAAATGGTTTTCCCAGGTGCCAGGTGAAAACACAAACCCCAGGGTACTGAGTAAAAGGTGTGAAGTGGGATGAGTCCTCTTCCTGCTCTGTGAGCAGACACAGTGCTCACCCTGCTCATGGGCTCTTCTTTCTCTCCTGCAGCTACCTACCTGGAAGAACTGTGCAGTATAATTTTACTCCAGCTCAACCTCTTCTAGGCTCATCAGTTTAAGATACTTGGTAAAAAAACATCTTTTGAAAAATTCTATTTGCATAGTTGAAGTATCTCCTAAGGAAGCTTCTAGAATCATGCTGTAATTTTTTCTATCCTTCTTGATTCCTAATTAATGTTAGCTTGTGATAGTTCCCTTTTTCAGCTGGTGCATACTAGCAATGAATTTCATGATAGCCACACTGGGCTGGCTGGTGAATCAATAAAAAACATGAAGTCAGCATAAACATACTCCTCTCTTCTACCCTTTCCTTCTGACTTCACCCTATCTTCCTAGATTCGTGTTTCTGGGTACATGGTGCTGTCTCAGGCAACCAAAAATAATTATAATGACAAATAAAGTCAGGAAGATATTTGTTTTCTCTCTTGCTCGCAAGAATTATTAAAAAAAAATCCTTTGCCTTTGTGTGGAAAGATCCTGCTAAATCTCATGTAACATCTGAATTTTGTAAAGAAACCTGAAACCAGGATGTTACCAATCTCTGCCAATATTTTATCACACTTTATGCTATAAAATTACCGCACACCAATTTTTTCCCAGCTATACCCCCTTTTTATAGCTCTGTTTTGCACAGTACAAAACCTCTAGCACACTGTATCCCAGCCATCTTCATTTTGGGTGTGCTATTTTACAAAGGCAGTTTTGCTACCAGTGGACAACAAAAGCCTGTACATTTAGAGTTGCTCTGAGGCTGGTGGGATTATTCTATATTCATTGAAAAACAGTCTTTTGTGTCTTAATTTTAGCAGTCCCAAATGGTATTGCAAGCTATAAAAATTTGGGTGCTATCTAGTTCTTTGACCTGGGCCCTTATACCTTTTTCTTGCTGTGATAAGATATCTCACTAGTGAGAGTAAAGACTGATCCCTGCTGGGCTGCTGGATGAACATTAACGCATAACCAATATTGAGGGAAAAGAAACCATGAAAAGTGTAAATAAAGGATGGTGGAAAAGCCCAGCTCACTCATTTTTTCTGCTCTGTATCTGTGGCTACAGTTATTTCCCCTGGGACCAAGACAGTGAAGGAATGCAAGGTTCATCATTTCTCTGCTATCCAGGGAAACCACATGAGAATGAGAAGAGCAGATGACCATCCTTGTAAGTCAGAAATAAGATCTGTGGTATTCAAGGGGGAGTAGGAAGGAAAAGGAACAGGAAGAAAAACAGGACAAATGAATTCTTTTAAAAGCTCTTTTAGACAAAGGAGACAAACTATTTCAAATGCTGGGTTTTAAGTAATAGTTCCCCTTACTTTACATGGAAATCAGTGAATGTACAAGAAAAGGAGATACATAAGATATCTATTTTGCCTTACATCATTCCTGTGAGATCTGAAATGAGATTTATAAATTATTTTTACTTTCTGGCTTCATAAACTCTGTCATTTGGCACATAGAGATGAAGGAGTTCTGCACATTTGCACAAAACATGTTGAAAAATATCAGTCACTCGGACCTGTACAAGGACATTCAGAGCCAGGCAGGAAACATGGCTATTGCAAAAGACATAGACTTCAGCTTCCCAAACAGGACTGGGGAAAGTGGGAGTCGACTCTCCTTTTCTGGAGAAGTAAGGAAAAGTAGTCTTTCCTTTTATGCCCCCAAGGTGTACCTCATCACATTGGTTCTCCTCTAACCAATCTCTACCAGAAAACTGCATATCAAAGAGTGAGATTGAACTTGGATTCTCGGAAACAGAGACAGAACTTGAACCAAAAGAAAGAAAATGATGCCCCACCTTCCATACCCACTGTGAAGGAACCATTTACTGGGCTCTGACATGACCATTAATCTGTCCTCATTCACCCACCTCTAAAGAAAACAAAAGCTATGACTTTGCTTTGTGAAGAATGCAATAAGTATTGTGCACACAGGTACACTCGTGTGCATGCATGTGCACATATGTGACACTGAGAAATACTGCTGGATCCAGTCCTCCAGAGAGATTAATCATAAGGAATTTGTTGCTAACAGATACTTTTAGCCTTAAGCAGAGTGGTGGTATTAGCATATGGTAAAAACATGATTCACAGTACAGAACATTTCAAAATTATTAGATGCTGGTAATATGATAAAACTGTAATGCCAGTGCCCACTCTGTGCTGTGCTGTATGGGCTGCCCTAGCCTCAATCTGCACTTGTTGGCCCCATAGTGCACCTTTGTCTCCATCATCCCCAGGGATTTGTCCTGTCCCTTCCACCAACTAGGGTCAAACAATGTTTCAGCTGCTCCTGCACCCACTTTCTGCTCCAGCACCAGCACTTGTACTGAGACACAGGAAGACATTCTGTATGGTGGGATCTGTGAGGGTCACCAAGGAACTTTGGGATTTATTTTGGGAGTTCGCATGCACTCCAGGAAGTGGAGCCTTCTCATGTCAGGTCAGATTGTCTGTATGACAAGAAGTCAGCAAGGAGAGGTAGATCTTTCCTTACAGCCAAAATGGATCCTGCTAAACCCTTCAGTGTAAATACCAGATTTCTCAATATCTTTGGTATTACACAAAATTCAGCTGTTTGTGTCTGCTTCCATGCAGACAGGAGCCAAGTCCTGAGCTGTGCTGCTTTTTGAGCCACTCTGGCTAAGCACAGAGGAGATCCTCAGCTTCACTGGGGTTTATACAGCTCCAATGCCATGTGTTCTCAGGGTCTCAGCACCAGACTTTGCTGCCTAACCTAGATCATAAATCTGTTTTGATTTTGGTCTTAAGGGGACTCAACATATTGTAGTCTCTTACTTGACTTTTAATTTCCAGTGACTCTCATTTGGTGTACACTTTCTATATGGGATCCAAATTCTTTGAATAGAACAACAAAATCATTTTTCTCCTGACCTGACTCTATTAAAGTCAGGTAAGGAGTCTATTTTTATCACAGTTAGTTCTTGTCTTCCCTCACTTCTCTTATCTAAACTGTGAAATGGTATATTTTTACTTTTTATTTTTATTTTTATATTTTTACCAGACACAAGCTAAATTCTGGTCCAGACATATCTTTGATTTCTTCTGGTTTCATCCTTTCCTCTCCAGAGTTGTGGTTTTGGGATTTTTTTTTTTTGTTTGGTTTGGTTTTTTTGGTAGTTTTGTTTGTTTGCTTGTTTTTGGTGTTTTTCTTGGGTGGGGGGCACTTACAGTATCAAAGAGCCCCTCAAATAACTCAACCTGTATCCCTCAGAATCAGGAAGAGATTTGATGCTCAGAGATTAAATTATGTGCTCAGGGCCCATAAGAAAAGTCTGTGGTAGAAACAGTTGTCAGATCCCCTGTAAAGCTGAGTAAGCAGGGGCTTAAAACCAAAACCATCCTCTCTCACAGGGTACAAGATTTATCTTCCCTAAGAGCTCTTTATTCATTCACTCTCCCCTGTTCAGAATCCCAGATAATATTGTTTGGCAGAAGTTCAGTATGTGCTATCCTACTGTCACTTGTAATTTTCTGGTTACAGCATAATCTTCCCTAGTTCCACAGCTGCCCATTCTGCAGTTTCTTAAATCTTCCCTTGAAACCAGCTGATGTTAGGAACAGACTATAGAACTATCTTTTCTGATAGATATGGAAATTCTACCCCTGCTTTTAACAGCATAGCTTCTTCCTGATGCTTTCTCCAAAGAGATTTGGATTCATGTTAAATCCAAAATTTGTAACATTTGGCAACTGGACCTATCTAGTGAGTTGGATTTTGCAAAAGTAGTCTGGGTCTGACATTATCTTTGATAAAGAATTAAATGGTGACATGAGGAGCTCAAATTGAAAAGTCTGCAAACTCCAAACGGCTTTGATAAATGGAAAAAAAAAAATAAAAATTGCCCTAGAATAAACAGGATGCAGTTATGTAGGGTGAGTGAAACACAGGTAGGCATAATGAGGTATGTGCTCACAAAAAATATGAGCTAGAATGCAGGTCTACAGAAAAAGAATGTAAATCCCAACCAGAGCAAATGTAAACACATAAAAAGGTATTTTACACATGCAAAGTAAATTTTCATCATTCTTCCTAATTTTGATGACTCATCTCCAGTACTGTGTTGTGTTTTTCATGCTGCATCTTAGGAAAGCTATGGGCTACCTAAAGAGAGCCTTCAGGAAACCAACCTGGATGCTCAGTAGCTGGGGAAACACAACCTATATGAGAAAAATGAGCATAGCTGGGATGTGTTTAAGAGGGCTCAACACTCCCAAGGTCCACCAAACCAGTCCTTCCTCTAACTCTTATTATTTTAATAATTACTTCCCATAATTAACAGCTGAGGACACTCAGGCTTAAACGTTGATTCTGAGGCAATTGTCCCTGAATTCAATGCCTTTATCCAGGTTAAGGGGAAATCTTGTGTATCTTCTCTGGAAAGCATTTCAGAATCCTTGGAACATTAAATTAACAGGAGGAAAGACTTTAACTTTCTTTTCAAAATTATGTCCATCACAATCCCCTTTCCGAGCAAATTTCAAGCCCCTTGCAGGAGTGAAACTTCTCTTCTGGCATTTGTCCAGCTCGAATCATCAAAATGGACTTCAAGTAGTTTAATTAACAAATAATGACACAGGACAGCTTTCACTTATTTGCCCTCAGTACATTTTCTTTTTATTTTTGGAAATTTCATGGTATTAATTTTTGATTTCCAAATGTAAT